ATTTGAGGAAACTGCAAGTGAAAAGCATAGAAAATACCTTGTCTGTAACACTGCTTTAGCATTTGGATATATTGTTTATTTTATAAATTAATAAGGAAAGGTAAAAGGAAATACTGGAATTGAAGAAGTGTTGTCATATGGGTATTTCTGTAACATCAACATGTAAACTTTGAAAAATGCCTAAAATTTTTTGTACATTATATAATCTTCTAATCTTTTTATAGTGAAAAAAATAATTTGAGGCATTTCTAAGCCTGTGCGTGTAACAAGATGGGGATGAAACCATACTGCACTTTTTATCAGTAATTTCCCCAAAATGTGGTTTACTCTAATTGGTTCATTTTTGCCTAATTAAATTGCACAAGGCAGTGTAAGAATTAGTGTGCTCACTAATAGGTCAGAAGAGGTGCAAACCATACAGAAGCCAACTGAAAAGAAAAATGTAATCTAGGGAGAGAACTTAAATAATTAACAGGCAACACTTGGCCAATGACTTTCCTATATGTGTAGGAATCATTGCCTATATTAAGTGTTCTGCAGCACTGTAAATTCACAGCTAAAGTGTTGATGTTGTTCTATAATTCAAATAATATTGTAAATTCAGAATTCAATTAGGTATCTAGCCTACTTTTGGTATTCTTGTCTTTCTAGAAGAATTGTTGGGGTAGCCAATTTTCTTTATGACTCTCATACCTTTTTCTTTCTTTATTTTTTTCTGTATCCACAATAGGAGAGGAGATAAGCCTCAAAACTTACTAAACTTCTACTTTGCTTCCCTTGATGTGGGATAGAAAATTGTCAAAATCTGCAAATACTTAAAAGCACTTCATGTGAATTGCTGCACATACCATGAGCATATTTGGGGACTGTTGTAGGAAGAAGAAATATTGATAACAATCTGGTGTCAGGCTGTCATTAAACACACTAAAAAATAAGATGTTAATAAAGTAAAAGGCCTGCTCATTCAAACAACAACCAAAAAAAAAAGTGTACAATTCTGCAGACACAAGAATATAATGTATAACAAAATGGAATTCGCTTTCAATGTTATGGGAAAGTGTCATTTATAACTGAAAAAAAGAGATACTATTGGAAGGTTCATTTCTGTTACACTGCCAAATCAGCAGTGTGTTCTATTCACTAAAAAAGCTCTTGCCTCAGACTCCAAGAGATCAATAATACATTGTGTTTTCCTTAGTATACAGATTGTAGTTAAAGTCAGCAACTGTGAGTGCTACTCTTTAAAAAACCCCAATGCAGGTGTCTTGGTGCAAACATCACAGCATTTTTAACATCAGCAAATCCTAATGAGTGCTGCATGGAAGAGGTGTTTTAAGTTTAGTGTAAATCTGTTCTTGGTCAGTGTCCTAATTAAAATGTTTGCTTTGATCACCTTAAAACATAGACAGCAAAGAGTGATGGTTCAAAGGACTAATACACAATACAACATTATGAGAAATGTAAATGAAAACTTAATGGCTTTTGGTTTTTTGGTTTGGTTTTTTTTTTTTTTTTGAGAAAGTCAGAGTTTCATTGTAATTAACAGCACTAAGCATAAGCAAAGTACAGTTAATTACACAAAGAAAAAAAGGACAACCCATTATGTGTAACTTATAGCCTATATTTCCTGTTTGTTTGTTTTTGTTATTAACAGAAAGATTATCCCTTTATTTAAGAAAATAATAAAAATAGAACATATGTTTTTCTGTTCACAGGGCAGATCACATTTTGGCTTGTTTAAAGAATGGTAATATATGGAATTCCTTGCTTCTACAAAGACATGCTCTCCAGAAATCTGAGGATGAAGGTATTCAAACTGTGGTTCCCCTTCTTTATCTTACCTGATGCAATCATCCTGTTTAATACTTCAAAGTTTGGTATACAAAATGGCATAAGTTTCAGGGGGAAAAAAGTAAAAGTAGGAATCTAGTTTTTTTATATTTAATATTTTGCCATCCTTTATTGCATTTAGTATGTTTGCATACATCTGGGAAAGCACAATGGTTAAGGTTTTATTTGGAATTCAGAATAACACACAAAGTTATAAAAATTAATCTGTGCGTAGATGTATGAGCACTTATCTTACAAAGTTATTCCCCTGGAAATCCTCTTAAAATTCAAATTAAAAGCTAGTGCAGGGACACTGTGGAGGGAATGCCACCCATCCTTTTCCGCTGTTTGGTTCCCCAACAGTTTGCTGTGACTTGTGGAGTTCAAGGCTGGCAGGAGGCAAAGCTGTGAGAGGAAACACACTCATTTTGTCTGTGCTCCTGTCACATCTCTCCCTGCCTCCTTTTTGTATTCAGCTGTAGTCTGACACAACTTGTAAAAGCAACAGAAATGGGAAGCCAGACCTTCCAAGCTCCTTGAAGAGGGAATTGCCTGCCTGATGCGCACACAGGTGTACGTGAGGATGCACAAGTGCTCGCAAGTGTCTGGGGAGTGCCTGCACAGACAGAAGCACATAAATACACATTTAAACACATAAATACACGTGCTGCTGGGGTTGTCTGGGAAAAGCCGGGTGTAAAACTCCAAATCTGTACCATGCAACAGCAGAAGTACCTCAGTTCACTTTTGCTGTGCTAAATAATTGGCCTTTTCCACTGATGGGGGAAAAGTTTTTGACTGCTGCAAATGACTCATCTTCACCTGGGGCCCTTTCCACAGGATATCCTGCATTAATATTTTATGGCAGTCTGGCTGGGAAGCATCCTACTACTCAACCAGGAGCTGCAAAAGAATTCAAGTCTGAATTCTCACCTCTTACCCAAAAAGTGAACCTTGGTAAGTAGTTTGTGCTACTTTCCTTTTGACTGTGCCAATTCTAAACCAGAACAGTGTTGAGACTCATGGTGTCAGAATAGTTTGTGTTGGAAGGGATCTTCAAAGGTCACCTAAGCACCCAGACTCTATAAATTTAACTTTCTCCTTTTACCTGACCTTGAACCTAAGACAAAATATTAATCACTCTTTCACTATTTTGAAATATTTCCTCAAGCTTTTCTTGTTGGCTTTCTTTTTGAGTAAAAGTTTTCCTTATAGAACATTGTAAACACATAGGAATTGCATGTTGCAAACAACATTGCTCACTGGACCCTTTAAAGATCCTTCCAAATACCCACAAATACATATTTCTGTGTTGCCTTTGCTCATTGAACAACTCCTCTGAAAATAATCCTTAAATCAGTAACTTTTAAAACATTCTTTATTCTTGCATTACAAAGCTAAGTGTTCTCACACAAAGCTTCTCTGAACATCCATTCAGACACCTTAGCAGGAACTATGGTATTCTCTGGTGCAGACTCCTGTAGCTGCATTACCCACTCACTTCAATGGAATTTTTGAACACTGGGAAGCATTGGGAATTAACTTTCTAACTTTTCTTTTTTTTTTTTTTCCCCTCTTGCTTGTGGATTTAGACACCTGGTTTGATTCATATTCAGAAATAGGAGTATCAGTATCTTCCTTTGGGTTGTTTTTTTTTTCTCTCTGCCTTTGAATAATAATAATAGTAATAGTAATAATAATAATAATAATAGTAATAATACGACAGGATGTGGAGTGTGGCGGGAGTGCGGCACTTCCACAGGGCAGTGCCCATCGCAGGTGCCTGTGCACCTGTGTAGGGGGTATGTGAGCAGCCATCAGATCTGATCAGATCAGATGAGCACACACATCCAAGGCGGCTTCCCCAGCTCTCCACAACCTCCTGGTACCCGGTGGAGAAATTAATTCAAGGAAAAAAAAAAAAAAGAAAAAAAAAAGAGTAAATGTTCCAGGGCTCCGGGGATGCCCGGACGAGGCCGGCTCACGCTCGTTTGTCCCTTGCATGCCCCGGCCGTAACTTTCCGGAGCAGCAGCAGCGCAGTGCGGCCCCGGGCGGGTGCCCCTGTCTCGGGACCCGCCGCTGCCACCCGCGGGTGGGGCCCGCACCCCTCGGAGCGGCGGCCGCGGCCCTTCCCGAGCGCTCTGCCCGTGCCTGGTCCGCGCACCCCCTCTAGCGCCGAGCCCGCCGCACTCGGCCCGTGCTGCCGGCAGCGCCGAGGCGAGGGGGCGCTTCCCGCGCCCGCCTCACGCACCGCACCGCGCCCCGCGCTCCCCTCGGGCGGGCGGCTGAGGAGGGGCCGCCGCTCCGACGCTCTCCTTCCATCCCTCCCTCTCTCGCTCCCTCCCCCGCTGCCCCCGGGCCGCCCGCTGGCTGGCGGGGCGCGAGTGCCGGAGCGCCCCCGGCGCGGGGCCGCGCTGGCTCCCGGCGGACCCGGCACCCGCCGGGCTGCGCGCAGCGGGGGCCGCGCCGGAGGAGGGGGCGAGCGAGCGCTCCGCGGGCGGCAGGGGAGCGGCGGCACCAAAAAACTGCAGCCGGCAGCGCGGCACGCAAATCAGGAGGGAGCAGCGAGCATCACACCAGAGCCGCCTGGTTTCTGATTGCTCCGCGGCAGAGGGGGAGAGACAGAGGCTGACTGAGAGGGGCGAGCGGCAGAGCCGGGCACGGCGGCGGAGGGTCGGGGATGCCGCGCCGCAAGTTTCCTTGATGCACTGGGGAGCGTGAGGAGGAGTCGCCGACCCTTCTCGCCCTCGTCGCGCTCCACCTGGGGAACCTGAAGCCCCTCAGCGCTGCCTCCGGCCGGGGATGCGGGGCACCGTGAGGCGCGGCCGGAGGAGGAGGCTGCTGCCGCGCCGGAGGCTGCTGAGGCTGCCAGGGGCGCTCCTGCGGGGTTGAAGGTGCCGCCGGCCCGAGCTGGCGGAGGGAGCGGGGCGCGACCCCCACCCTCCGGCCGCCACCGCTTGGAAGTTGCCGGAGCTCTCCCCGTGCCCAGCGCCGCCGCCCCTCGCGGCAGGGCGGCAGCGGGGGTCCCGGCGCCCTCCGTGCTGCCGCCTGTCCCGGGAGCCCGGCGGTGGATGCTCGCGGCCCGGCCCGCGCAGCCCCGGGCGGCAGTGCCGGCAGCGCAGCCCGGCGGGGCGGCGGCGGACCCCGGCGGCCTGAGGGAGCACGGGCAGCCTCGGCGGGCCGAGGTCGCGGGGCGCTCGGCGGGCACCAGCCATGGGGTGTAGTGAGGCGAGGGCACTGCTCTGGAGAGTCGGCCTCCTCCTCCCCCTGCTGACAGCGCGCCCCGCCGCCGCCGGGCACGTCGCCAGCAACCACGGTGAGTGAGGGCGGCTGCGGGCCGGGCTGCCCGCAACTTTCCGGCGGGCGAGGGCCGTGAGGGCATGGATGGAGGGAGGGGTCCGCACCTGCGGCCGCGGACGGGGATGCGGGACCGCGGGGAAGCGGGACCGGGCGCCTCCCGGCGGCCGGCCCTTCCTGCTGCCCCAAAAGTTGGGGTTTTGCGGCCGGAGGAGCAGCGGGGCTGCGCTGCCGGGACCCGCCGGGGATAACTCCGCGGCTGCCGGGAGCTCTGCGCTGTGCCCCGGGCACCCTCGGCCGCCGGGGTGTGCGAGTGAGAGCAGGGAAGCGAAAGTTGCCTCTCGGCGAGGTGGAGTGCTAGCATCATTTTATTTGAAGTGTGGGTTTAAGGTTTGCTTCGGTCCTGCGGAACGCAGACCCTGTAGAATGGGTTTGAGAGGGCTCATCGCGCCTTGGGGGGAAATGCTGCTGGTGAGCGAACTGTTCAAAGGTGCCTGACTGCCCTTAACACCTAATTTCTGCATACTCCGCGCTGATTGTCTGAAAAACACCCATTTAAAAGCTTTGTAACAGGTGCATGCTCATCAGGTCTCTCCGAAGACAGTAGTATTTTAATTCTTCAGGTTGTAAGGTGTGCGTTTTAGAAAATTACCTCTGGATTAAGAAGGGAAGCATCCTGTTCATAGGAATAAAAATGCGTAGCACGCCCAGAGGATACAGTATTTTGTTAGGAAGAACTAAAAAAAAAAAAAGAGCCCAGACCTGATTATGAAACATCATGTTTCATGTTATCTAGCATCTGGATAGAGCAGAGAATTTCCTGAACTGCTTGTTTTATGTACAGCTGTCTGTTTCAGTTGCAGAGGATGCATCTATTCCCACAGTATGAGTGGCTTCTGTACCTTTAACATTATTTTTGCACAATTTGTCTTTTTTGAGGTTTCAGTGTGATGTGACTGAAACTACAGGAATTGAAGGGTAGCTCTAAGTGTTGCTGCTGACAGAAATTGCTTTACCTGCTATGTTGAAAGGAGCGTTGAAATTGACAATGGTGGAAAGTAACAATGAAAGAAAACAAACTGGGTTTAGGCGTGGAGTACTATCGAGTATATAGTTCATGTATTTTCAGTTTTGTTCTGCAGTCTGTTTTCAGTGCTCTTTGTATCGACCTCAGTAACAGTAAAATCAGAGAATAAGACCTCTAGAAAACAGGGAAGAAGTGTAGTATGGCCCCAAAGCCCCTGTGCCATCAGGATGAGTTATGGCAAGGGCATTCCAAGTTGGTATGATTCCTTTACCTCTCCCATGCTAAATGTGATGAATAATTCCAGTTGGTAATTGTAGAGCCTACAATCATATCAAGGCTGATTTTTGCCCTTTCTTATGTCTTGGAAGGCATCAGACTCTCACAGTGGCACAACCCAGATTTCCTTTGATGTCACAGGCATTAGTGCATGCTAATGTCTGCTGCATTATCACAAGGCCTAACACCACACATGCATAAAATTTAAAAAAATATATATTCTTGCTGTTGTAGGATAGCTAAGGTAGCATAAAAGCATCGAAGGCAAAGAGTTTTATCAATTAATACAACTCATTTTAGGTTTCTAAACCAGTATTTGGTATTCTGGCATTAGATTAGTAGTGTTTAAATAGTATTTTAAAAGTGTTTTAATGGTGTTTTTAAGGGATGGGGAAGACAGTTTCCAAAAGTCTGTCAGGGATGGCGTGGTTTCTTGATGTTGATGTAACTTTTCCTAACAAGTCCAGGTGTTGTGGTGTTGGCTGCAGAGAGTACTGGTGAGTTTCCTAATTTCTGAGGAACTTCTTTTTCTGCACGTTGCTTCTAAACTTCAGTGAAACGAGTAGCCTCTTACCCTTAGTACTGCCATATCACCGTAGAAATCAAATAATTATAACTCAAAAAACCCCAAGTGAACTGAAAATGGACTGAATTAATACAGGTGCTTTCATGCACACTCCCCCACCTTGTTAATAAAATGCTAGCAAAAAGAGTCTGCTTTTAATGATAACTTTCTCTAAATCCAGGCATTGAAGGAAAGGAAATTGCTGCAATAAAAAAGTTGCCTATTGTGTAAACACTTAAATGTGGAAGGTAAAAATGCCAGTTACTAATACTTGGAATCCCAGTGGCAAAGAATTCTTTAAGATCTTGTGAGGAAACATAACTTCTTTAAATTTTCCTGAAGTGATGTTTTCAGCATGCATGTCTTGAAAACATCTTTGCAAGAATTGCTGTTGGATTTTCACTAATAATTATTAAGATTGTATATTAACTTTGCAGTCTGGTATATTTCATTGTCTATTTTGTGTGTAGAAACATACCAGCATTAATAGTAAATTGCAAAGGAATGTCTTGTTTTGTCTCTTGATGGTTTGGGCGAAAAGGATGAAAAGGATGGATTAATAGGTTTATTAATCTGACTTGGTAAACAGACAGCCCTTCCACTTCATTCTTAAAGGTTTGTGTCCTGTTATTAAAGAGGGATTTTCAGAAAAATAATATACTCTGGTCTTATAAATTGTTATTATAACCATCTTGGATTAATCTTTTTTGGTCTTGTCAAACAGAAAGAAAGAAATATTTTCTTTTATATAGCTGTAAGGCTCTTAGGTTGTCATTCTTCACCCAGTAAATCAATGTGTGGTGTCTTAGAGAATTTGTAGCAAGGCAGGCACAAACCATACTATTGGCAGGGAAGTAAGCTTGCTCATTTATCTTCATGGAATGGTCAGTTCAAAAACATATTATGACCATGCCAAGGGCTAATTTTTACTGCTCAGAAAAACCCTATAGGGTTTGGAATTGCCTAGGAGGAGTACGCACTGCAGTGTGTGGCAGAACTGCTTGGAACAGAGGGCTCAGTTAATGGTGGAGGTTGAGTGCTTGCATGTTCATACAGATTTTCAGTGGTCGTCCCTCACATGCAGAATGAGCAGGCTGCTGTGCAAGGTTTCAGCGTGCTGTGGTGTAGCTTTGTTATTTGCTTGCCAGAACACCATGAATTGGGCAATTGCTGTCAGACCTAAAATTACAGATAATGGCACCTGACCTGTGCAGCTCCTTGTGCAAAACTTGTGGGAGCCTTAAAGATAAAGGTCACACCAGGTAATGGCTCAACAGTTTCCTGGGCTAAGCGTGCACACATAAAAGTTTCTACATGTAGAAAAATCAGAAACAATATTTGTTTCTATGTATATGTCAACCAGAAAGAGTTTCTGTACCCTGGCTCCTTTCAGTTTGTATCTGCCATTATGTATCACCAGACAATTAATTCCTGAAGCCAACTATAGAACTTGCAGAGTTTATAATGAGTCATGTCTTTCAGTGAGGTGTAAAAAAGCTGCTGCTTTTCCAGTTTCCAGGTATCATTACTTGTCAGGTTATGCAAGCGTGGCCTTTTTATTCATACCTTTAAAAGGCACCTGCATGCATTTTTCTACTCTTACAAAAAAGAAGTTGAGGTAAGAAATATTGTCAAATATCAGTTCTGAAATTCATACAGCCTTTATTTTCATAATGATTACACTTGATGTAAATTGGGTGGCTCAAAGTAGATAATAAAGCTTTTTGATTCTGCTAGTGAAATATCAGGTAGATTACTAATGACCTTGAGGTATTCATCAGTTCAAAGAAGTTGGCTCATTTTCATTCACATATTTATTTTTACAGAAGTGCAATCTAGACACTCTTTCTGAATACAGAATTCAGATATTTTTTCTGTGGCAATAAGGAGACCAAGGACTAAGTGTGGAGAGATTGAAATTCTATCTGAATGAAGCTGATGTTTTACTGCTAGGAGATATCTCTTACTTTGAGGACTTAAAGTACTGTGGAAAGAATGTGCTGCTGCCGGTGTTGTGCTAGTCCTGGGGAATTCTGATGTACAGTTGTCCACTGCATGTTTTAATAAGCATTTACATCATTATAGAAACATGAGAAAGTTAAATAAACAAAATGAGAAAGTTAAATAAACACTGCAGTGAATGTAGATAAAATCATGAGCAAAATCATATTTTAGTTTCAAGTTTTTAAGAAACTTTTAACAGTATTTTTAGTCATGTGTAAAATCCCACATCCATATGGACTTGTGTGCTAATGAAGGCCTGGGAACCTCTGCAGTTGAAGATATGCATGAAATTACTTGTTATCCAAGAGCCTCCATTTGTTTGCTATGAAATGAACAGATTTGCAATTAATGGTTCAGGATGCATTCCTGGTGTTGTATTTGGCAGTACTGAGGGCTGTCTGGGTATTTGTTAATTTTTTTTGTTTTTGACAAATGAGAATGATTGGTATGGAAATACTAAATATTAAGAAATGAATAGATTAAGCAGATACAGTTTTAAACCCAATCAGTGCAGTAGTTTTCATGTAATTTGCAGGAGTAGAAACACCACAGAGGAAATTAAGTATTTCCTGAAGTTTACCAATTTAACTCTCTGGTCAGACATCATTTTCTCTGAGAGGTCAAAAAGTTTACCGAGGAAAAAGCATATAGGAAATTGAGTTTTTATTCTTAAAATCTCCTCTGTCTTTCCAGATAGATCCTTTTAGATCTTAACTCTGCTTGAGGGTTTGTTTAGGGTACCTGATGTTAAAATTTTCACTTGAGAATTTTAGAAAAGTCAGAAAGTTCAGCAAGTTGTTTGTCAGTAAGTTACAGAGGAAGTCAATATCCATTTTGCTGACTTTTTTTTTTTTTCCATGAGAAGTCTAATGTTTAAAAACCTCATTTAACTGATTAGGGATATTGAGAAAATTATGCATGTGTACAATGTGGGAAGGGTTTAATTGTTCTTAGATCCCAATATAGCATATCTGGGTTAGGATCTATCCCTATTCCAGCTGTGTGTGTTAGCTGGAATGTCTCATTAGCATCCTTGGATTTCCCCAACATGACAATGACAAAGATGAGGCTGGCCTTGTGTTTGATATGCCCTTTAACATGCTGAACTCTGTGACTGAGAGAATGAAAAAATGGATGAATTATTTGT